TGGGGTCCCTATGGGTTCCTATGGGATTTTTAATGGGGTCCCTATGGGTGCTATGGGGTCCCTATGGGTCCCTATGGGGTTTTTAATGGGGTCCCTATGGGTGCTATGGGGTCCCTATGGGTTTTTAGTGGGGTTTCTCACCATCCCTGCCCCACAGCGCCGCCCCCGCCAACGAAAATCCCCTTTTGGGCTTCGTCTCCTCCGCCTTCCGCCCCCCCGGCAGCTGTGGGGCAATTAACACTTTGTTAACGAACCGCCCCTTAACGAACCGCCCGCTAATCAACCGCTTCATTAACACCCCAGGGCCCCGCTGCACCCAATGGAGGGCTTCGTTCTTCCCCAAGGAATCATTAGGCTCAGGAAATACCGTGAGACGCTAACGAGCCCGTTATTAATGCCTAATTAATCGCTAATTAGGCAGTGAGTAATGAGAAAGAGCGGGGGGGCACCCCTACGCCCCCCCCCCCGGAGGGCTTCATTTCCCCCCTAATTAACAAGCTGGGGTTATGCCACGGCAGGAGCGCCCTGGCTGACTAATTAGCTAATTAGCGAGCTAACGAGGGCCGTCGTTAATTACCTTCTTCCGGAAGAAATGCCCTCGGGGCTTCTTGGCGTCGCCGCCGCCCTTCGCCTTCACCCCCAGCAGCCTCAGGTAAGCGCACACCGCAGCCACCGCCGCCGCGCTGCCAGCGTTAATTAGCGCAGCCAATTAGCAGCGCCAATCAGTGGGGGGGGGGGGGAGGAAGCAGGGGGAGGGGTGGAAAGAGGGGCGCCGTAAGTGAGGGAGGGCGTAAAGGGGGAACTGTCGTAAAGGGGGAATGGCGTAAATGGGGAATGGCGTAAGTGAGGGCGTAAAGGGAGAATGCCGTAAGTGAGAAATGTCGTAATGAAGGGAGTGCCGTAAAGGGGGAATGGCGTAAGTGAGGGACGGCGTAAAGGGAGGATGGCTGTAAGTGAGAAATGTCGTAATGCAAAGAGTGCCGTAAAGGGGGAACGGCATAAAAGGGGAATGGCACGAATGAGGAGAAATGACCCCAAAGTTCCACTCCCTCCCCCCCCCTCACCTCTTCTCCTCATCCGGAGATATGGAGGCGCTGCAAAGGGAGAGCGGTCACAACTGGGAGCACTGGGATGGACTGGGAGGGGACTGGGAGAGAGTGGGGAGGGATGGGATGGGAGTGGGGTGGAATGAGAAAGAGTGGAGTTGGACTGGGAGGGACTGGGAGAAACTGGGAGGGACTGGGATGTAATGAGATGGGATTGAGAAGGATGGGGAGGGGCTGGAATTGGAGTGGATGGACTGGAAAGGGACTGGGAGGGACTGGGATGAACTGCGTGGGAGCTGGGTTTACTGGGAGACTCTTGGGAGACACTGGTTGTACTGGGAGAGAACTGGGAGGCACTGGGATGAACAGGGAATCAATGGGATCCAACTGGGCTGCACTGGGAGCGGACTGGGATGGAAACCAGGGGCACCGAGAAGGGCTGGAATCAATGGGGATTGAATGGGCCGAGCTGGCACTGGGAAGAACTGGGATGAACTGGGATGAACTGGGCGGTGGGCGGGGCCAGGCATCACGTGACG